GAAATTTTGAGATTTGGGAGCACTGCTTCAAAAAAAATCAGGGAGTATATTTGTAAATTAAGAATGAATTTGCCAAAACAAGAAAATACATCAAACAATTAAGTTAATTAAGATGAATCACGCAAAAATAAAAATGTTTTTGTCACCCTTTTTTAATCTAATAACAATTATGACTTGCTGATGATATCTGACCAGAATTGGCCCAGTGTGTTTGCGAGCCAACATACTGGAGCAACCCCAGCAGGACAAACTCCAACTTTAGTGTGGCATGAACTGTGAATGAAACACCTCCCTTTCCATTTGCTTCTCAGCTGGTGGCCCACTATACCATCCTGACCCGCATCACCCAGCTGGGGATGATCATCTCCCTCATCTGTCTGTCCATGTGCATCTTCACCTTCTGGTTCCTAAGTGAGATCCAGAGCACCAGAACCACCATCCACAAGAACCTGTGCTGCAGCCTCTTCATGGCCGAGTTCATCTTCCTGGTGGGGATCTACATGAACACACATAAGGTGAGCTCTGGATGTACTCGAACCCAGTGAAACAAAGGAAAACCTCCTGTTTGTGTGTGTGTGTGTGTGTGTGTGTGTGTGTGTGTGTTGACCTGACCCACTGTTGTGACATTTCATTGATTAAAAATGCTCCTCATTTAAATTGTAAGTACATAAGTGGTGTTCAGTCAGTTAGTATGTTAGCAAATGCTTAAAAGATACATCATAACAACATCTCATAAATCAGGGCAAAGAAACAAAGATGTACCACAGCAAGTGCAAATGATCATTTCTACATATTAGAGCAAAAATAACTGTAATTTTACACATCATAAAATTATGAATTCCCTGTTTCTCACTTCCTCTCTCTTCTCTTGTCTGTTTCTTGGCAGCTTTTCTGCTCTGTTATTGCAGGGCTGCTGCACTATTTCTTCCTCGCGGCCTTTGCCTGGATGTGTATCGAGGGCATCCATCTGTACTTAATAGTTGTTGGCGTCATCTACAACAAAGGCTTCCTGCACCGTAACTTTTACATCTTTGGCTATGGAAGCCCAGCGGTGGTGGTGGCCATCTCAGCAACGTTAGGCTCTAGGTATTATGGAACGGATAAAGTGTAAGTACAAAAGAATTGAATTTTTTTTTTTTTTTTTTTGTACGTAAAGGTGGGAAGACAAATGCTTCTACTAAGACCTTTTTAAACTCATTCAGCATTTTTCAGGGAGGAAAGATAAACAAATTGCATTAATTATAAATACAAGGGGACAGAGATTAAATTTGGCCTGCAGGGGCATGGAGGAAGTTGAAGTAGCTTAGATTGCCTGGTAGAAAGTAAGTTATTAACCAAATTAAAAGAAAGTCTGAAAGGTTTTGTGTACCATGGAGAGCTGGAATAGAAATCTATAAATAAAAGTGAGCATGTTGTTTATTAATGGAAAATACTATTAAAAGACTGAAGTTATGAGAAAAAAAGAAGTGCTCATTGTTCATTACTGTGTGAAGAGGTCGCTTTTCCAAACAATTGTTTTGAACTTGTAGGATCAGATGTAGTAGCTCATACGCTATTGTCATAATTAGCTATTAGACTAAAACGATAGAAGGTATTGCTTCTGCAGGAGGAGGTATTATTGCAATAACAAGATATTAAAACACACTCAGTCAATGTGAAAATGAATTATTAGATAAAATAAGAGTTTGTGTGTTTGTATTCTAGGTGTTGGCTGAGCACAGAAAACCACTTCATATGGAGTTTCATTGGGCCTGCGTGTTTGATCATTCTGGTGAGATCAGATTTCTTTGTAACATACTAAAAATGACTGAATTAATTGAATCCACCAAACAGGGATTGTTTCAAAGATAAATATTCATTTGATCGTGTTTGTTTGTCATGTTTGTTTTGGTCGGTCTCCACTAAAGGTTAATCTCTTGGCTTTTGGAGTAATCATCTACAAAGTGTACCGGCATACTGCTGTGAAAAAGCCTGAAATCAGCCACTATGAAAACATCAGGTAGGATTATCTGTGCTCGTGTTGAATAGGTCAAAGGAATATTGAAAATCAAGCCGTAAATTCCTTATCTGTTGGATTATTCTGGTATCGTGTGGTGTCACATTACTTCCACACTCTGTTGAAGTCAGTTTGATCACCCTCAGGTCCTGTGCCCGCGGTGCCTTGGCCCTGCTGTTCGTGCTGGGAGCCACCTGGACCTTTGGAGTGCTGCACATCCTCTACGAGACCACCCTCACCGCCTATCTGTTCACCATCACCAATGCTTTCCAGGGCATGTTCATCTTCATCTTCCTCTGTGTGCTGTCCAGAAAGGTAGGAGACATGGTTGGGCTTCTCTTCGTATTATTTTAAGATTTATTTATTTATTCAACAAATATTCTGTGACTGTTTTTGGTTAGTGAGCTTTTCAGATCAAGATAGTCGGATTTATGTTATATTATATTATTTTATATTATGTTATGTTATGTTATGTTATGTTATGTTATGTTATGTTATGTTATGTTATGTTACGTTATGTTAAGTTAAGTTAAGTTATGTTATGTTATGTGCTTTTTGTTCCAGATTCAGGAGGAGTACTACAGGCTTTTCAAAAACGTGCCATGTTGTTTTGAATGCCTGAGATGAATTAATGCAGCCAAAGCCTGATCATCTGCACTTGTACAATAATAGTCAACACTACAGCTTTGCAATATCCTGTGACTCATGCTTTCATTTTTGGAAAATGCCGTGGGAGGAATTGTTGAGTACAGATGTCTAATAAACGAGAACACGTAGCACTTGTAATTTCTAAACCTCTTGTTTCTCTTTTAAAAGACTCAAATCATCTATACGTCATGTTTGTGTTATATTCAGGAGCTTTCTGTACAATACAACTGTATCTAACGTTTCACAAAAGACATTCTTCTGAGGGTGACACTGGAATCAAAATGTTTTGTAAGTTTTCAGTTTAAGTTAATACATCTTCAATTACACTAAAAAAAAAAAACCCACACACAGTCTGTTGTCTTTGTTCCCTTCTTGTGTTTGAAATTGATTTGTAAATTATTAAAATGAATGTGGCAAACCAACACAAATCTCTGCTGCTCAATTCTTTTATGTGCTAAATCAATGGTCTTGTTTAATGCATCATTTCACTCTCTTTCTGAACAACCATGTGTACAGTGAATTAAAAATGAATTGCTGTGAGGCCTGTGTCCATCCTCTGGTACATGGCAGCCAGTAGGTAGGCCAACAGCTCCATCTACTGGACACAATGAGGAACTCTCTCTCCACTGTGATCAGACAAACGCTCCTCTCTGTGAATCTTCATATGTTTGTTTGTAGCTTGCTGGTCCATGGGAGCTGTGTTGTAGGTTTTTTGTTGTTGTTGTTCCAAACAAGCTGTCACCTGTGAATTATAATGTGTTTAACAAGCATCTGATAACCTCTAGTGTTATAAAGGCAAAGATGGCAAAGATGGCCGAAACCAACCAACTAACCAATAACCATTAAATTGGTTATCTTTGTTATTTTTGAACGAATGAATGAATGGAGATGAGGGACTGATAAACTGCACTGATCATATTATCCACTCTTCTTTTACTGAATATATCTCAACCTTGCATCCTTTTAGACTAACCTTCTTCTATGTTTTTTTGTGTACTAATGTCTCATACTATATGCCCGTGCACAGAAGCTTATGTTCTGTTATCATATCATGTCTTATTTTATCTTTATCTCGTCTTTATCTTAGCTTAACACTTATTTAGTCTAAATTCTGTGCAATAATTTGTCTGATTTTTTTTTACACAGATATTCTTTTCCTTATTTTCATATTTTAGTGTATTTTGTGAAAAATTAAGTCTCAGTGTTGACTGTTTTTCACCTTCTTTGAATTTCTTCAGCAAAATTTACAACTAGAACTACAACTCAACGGGTCTGCAAACAGCCCCGCTAGACCAACACACAGTGGCATTTGAGTTCTAGAAAAAAAAACTCAGTGACATGAAAAAGTGACGAGAAAGTTAGACTTTAGTGTCAAAATGTGTTACTGAAGCTTTTCTACCCTTTGTTTGTCCTGGTCCTGTCCAAGTTTGCTGCTACAAGTTTAGGACAAAAATGTGACGTTAGAGCCCTCTAGTGGCTGACGCTGACATGAACAGTAAGAAACGTGGATGGTCAGGTGTATTGAAGCCTGAGAATAAAAGAGGTATGATAGCTGAGAGAATCCTTAACTACGATTACACAAGGGACTCCTGTGTTGTGCAATCTGAACATAACCCTAAAAGACAGAAAGAACAGACTCTTGGGCTGATTGCTGCTTGATGTCATCACCCTCGAACTGCACATATAAGCAGAGCTGTTTGTGGAGGCACGTTGTTAAAATTGGCATGAAGAGCAGCGATTCTCCACACTGCTTGACTCTGTTTTATCCAGCAGGAGAGCTTTATGATGCCAGGGGACAGTGTATAAAAATGTAAGACTGGGATTTGCACTAATATTCAAGAAGTGAAAGAATAAAACCAGCCAACATCTTCTCTTCTTTAAGTCCATTTGTCTGGGATTCACTGAGGGAACAGATGTTGATCCCACTGGGCTTATCCCTCCATTCAGCTGTGAAAAACCTGTTTACTTGTTTTCTGAGTGATAGGAAATTAGATTTTAGCTTTGAATTTTTTTAAATACACAAAACAAGCCAAGTTCTGAGTTCTGAGTTTCATGACGTACAGATATAAACACTTTCAGAGATATACCGTAATCTCATTTTTAAGTAAAATCAATAAGTGGTTGTTAGTTGTTAGGGTTAGAGTTAGGTAAATTTTACACAACTCATTTATTTTTTGCGAGAAACTGTTGAGACAGTTATCTGTATTACTTGTGTCACTCTGACAATGTCACAGGTCAACGTGACTCTAGTTCGGACGACATGTGTTTACTTTATATCAGTCAGTCCCCAGTGAAAAGCCATGCTGGTATATAAAGGACAAATGTGATATGTTTGCTTCCACTCCTCAGTTTTACCATGCGGGGGCTTCTCCTCTGCTGTTTTGTGGCCCTGGCAAGTAAGTGTTAATTGTGTCATTCATATTATTTCACTTGTAGGAGCTTCATTATTATTATTTTGCGATTTTAGAGTCAGTTTGAGATTTTTCAAATGATTCATAATCTGGGGGTTGATTTGACTATTTCTACTTTTTACTTATCTCTCTGGGGCTTTACTTTTAATTTATTCCACCATTCAACATGTGAGATACTTTTTAAAATAGATATTTGGAAATGTAATATATTGATCTATTTGCTGTTGATCAATCATGAATAAGCAGCAAAAATAATTTAGGCAAGAACAACAAAAAAATAGGGACTTTTAGAGGTGAGTCAGGTGTCATTAACGGAGAAAGGTGACAGGTTATAAAGGAAATTTTACTTGAGTTATTGACCTGTTTTTATGTGTATATTTATTTTTTTTGTTTTTTTGGGTTGCAATGATGTAATTCGGTTTTTCAAGTTTTTACTGTTTAATTCACTGTTTCATGTTTTGTGTCTGGCTTTTTAATGTGCTTGAAACAAGTGCTATCCCCATTTTAAAGTTTTCCCTGGGATCAGTCGAGCCACAAATAACGCAAATTAAATATAAAATGTGCTCATGGAGACACTACACAAAAGTTCTAATACTGACACTATGTTTGACTTCTGTCTTTCAGCATGCCAAAATGTCCATTACGGTAAGTCTTTGTGTCTTCATCATAAAAGTAAAAATTATCTTTAAAGAAAGAAAAAAAAAAAGACACGTGAGATGACATTTAATTGTGGAAACATGTTCCAGAGCTCGGCCTGAACCCTAAGAAGACCTACGAGTACAAATATGAGGGAGAGGTGAAATTTGGACTCGGCATGCCAAACCTTGCTGAGTCTGGTGTGAGAATGATGTGCAAGGTTAAGATTGCTGGTGTGTCTGCACAAACATTCATCTTGCAGGTAAGCGTGAGAATAGAGGGTAATAAAAAGGGAGCAGAATACAGTATGTTGTTTCAACATGTCACAAATACTCTGATTGTGTAGTACAGTGTAAACAATGACAGGTTGTTGATTTGTTAATTTGATGTCTGATTCATAAACAAAGTAACCGGCAGTGCATCATTTGTAATTTATCATTTATTCATGTGTCATAAATGATTTGGAAGTCGTTTTAATGAACACCTGTTGAAAGGATGAACAGGCGTTTGAAGACAGAGTCATGTAGATTGTGGTATAAATGACTTATACGTTGAAAGTGCTGAAAGTTCAGAAACTGTTTGTTACAAATGTTTGTAGTTCAACAGCTGTGCAGGACTGTGTGTCTGTTTTCTCTGATGCATCTGCTGCTCTTTCTGCAGCACCTTTTTGTCATCTGTCAGTGATCAACAGATGCTGCCATCAAACTCTGAGCTTTAACAATCCATTAAAAGAAAACAGATAAATACTGTTCTCTTACTTTTCGTCTGACATGAATTTGAGCAGAGAATGAGAGATGACACGAGAGATGAAACTTCTTATTTCCATCTCTGCTTCAAAGGTCTCAGATTTAGCCTTGGAGGAGTTCAATGGCTTCCCGGGGAAAAGCGGCTTTAACGCCTCACCAAAGCTCACCCAGCGTATTGCTGCCCAGCTCATCAAACCCTTCATGTTTGACTACACCAGTGGACACATTGGTGACATCCGTGCCTCTGCTGAGATTTCTGACACTGTAGTCAACATTGTGAGAGGGATACTGGGTTTCTTCCAAGTCACTGTCAAGACCACACAGAGGATCTATGAGCTGGAGGAGGTGAGTCACTGACAGACAAACAAAAACTGCTCTATTCTGCACCTTCTTCATTTATTCCACACAGCATCAATAAAACTACAATAAAAAAAAAAGTCTAACAAGGTTTAGATTTGTTTGTAGGTTGGCATCCATGGCAAGTGCCAGAGTAACTATGCTACTGAGGAAAACAAGGAAACACAGGACATGACCATCACCCAGGTTGTGGATGTGACTAACTGCCGGGAGAAAGCAGCCATCTACAGGGGAATGGCTACTGCTGTGCTCGACCAAGTCTCCAAACAGGTCTGTTTGCCTCACTGCAGATGGCTCTGATTCTTCAAATATAAATTAAACGCACCAAAGTCAGATGTATTTTTGTTTTGTTTTTTTCTGTTTTTTTCTGTGCTCCAATCTAGAGAGGGGAATCTGTCATTTCAACAGTGAGATATGTTTACACAGTCAAACCAACAGCAGAGGAAGGTCTCATTACCAGGGCTCATGGCCTGGAGCGACAGCACTTCAGTCCCTTCAATGTGAAGGGCGGCAGTTTCAAGATGCAAGCAACGTAAGACAAAAAAAAACAAAAAAAAAAAAAACAAAAAAACTGCATTTTATGTCTGCTCATCCACAATGCCTGTCTGTTATACAAATCGCCGGCTTAAAATAACTCCTCCTGCAGGAAGGAAATAGTGCTACTCGGTGTGACTGACACTGTGAGAGCTGTCACGTTTGGGCCAGTGGAAAGCAAAGGCAACCTTGTTTACAAGTTTGTCAACACTGCAGCTAATGTCCCCCTTTTGATGCAGAACCTGGAAGACCCAGTACCAAAGGTAATAATGATAAAAATGTGTGTCTTAGGAGTAACATTACATTACATTTTTTAGATGTTAAATATATCAAATAATTTCACTTTTCTAAAATCAGCTGAAAAGTGTTAAGTATCTCTTATAAGTGGCATGAAACTAAAGCAATTGAATAATGTTGTAATGTGTGTAATGGGGAACAAATACCAAAATCATGTATGCTAAAGCGTTCCAGAAATGAAAACACGAGATTAATTTTTTTCAGCAGCTGCAGCCTCTCATTTTCTTTCCAGGCTGTTGAACTGATCAAGCGTCTGGCTGAGGCTAATCGCTATCAGATCGACAGTGCGACGACTGAAGACATTATAAAGCTGTATCAACTCCTGCGAGTGACGCCTTATGAAGGATTGGACTACATGTGGAAACAATTTGCAGGAAATGAAGAACATAGGTTGGTATCATCATCATAGTGTGAATAGGCTTTAACATCGCATTCAGCAAAACATAAGAAGTGGCTTTTTTTTTTTTTTTGATGATTGACCTTTTGAAAAGCAATTCCATTTGCTCTTGTTCTTGAGGTTTCTGAAACAAGAATAAAAGGTGGAATTACGTTTTTTCTGGGCAGCATGTAGGCTAACATGCACAGGATATGGCCTGACAGGAAATGAAGCAACCCCATCAACTTGCTTGCAAACGCGCAGATCTGCACAAATCCTTGTTGAGATTTGGGAGGTGTTTACAGCAGCTCATATGCAAGCCTCTGTGACCTACAGTTACCCGTAACACCCTTCTTACTGTAACATATTAGCATGGTAACATTTTGTTAATTAGCACAAAGTAGAGCTTTGTCTGGTGGAAATGTAATTAGTTTTGGTGTGTGGGTGTGTAATTGTTGCCCCAAACCTGTTGACCTTTCATTATCCCAGTCCATTATCCATCATTATCCCAATATACCCAGGAAATTTTTAATTCTAAAGTTATAAGTGAAATTTTTCGGCCATTGAGAACCTTGTGTTTAAGACTTGAAGTGAAAATCCTTCATCGATAACCTTTGACCAAGCTTTTCATTATAATATCATAAGACGACGAACAAAATGGTCCCAGGCCATCTCTAAAATCTGATAGTGATCCACTTCAACTGATTAGGTAATTGAAGAGTATCCTCCCACTTAGTTCAGGAAGGATTTGGTCTGGTACATTACCACTGATGAATGATTTATCATCAAGTGAGGCACGATGACAGAAAGGTGATGAGTGAAAGACTGCTTTCCCTGCTCATTAAGATTGAAACAGCTTGTATTTCATATTGCACAAGAGCAATTAAAGGAGACATCTGACCTTGTCTCCTACAGCTTTTTTTCCTTTTTTTCTCTTTTACTTAATATGACGGATACTCCCTATTTTAAGTATTGTCTCATTAAGCCATTTTCTCTCACTTTTCAAACATCAGACGTTGGTTTTTGGACATGATTGTTGAGGTTGGCGATGCCAGAATCCTGAAGTTCCTGGAAACGAGGTTTGAGGCTGGAGATGTTTCTGCAACAGAAGCTCTGGAAACCCTTTTATTGGCAATTAACCACCTCAAAGCTATTCCTGAGTTTGTTGAGATGGCTAAAGTGAGTTAAAGTAAAGTTGGAGAAATTGTTTGCATATTGACGAATGATACCATGCACACTTTCCACAAGAGATTCTCTCATCAAACCGTCTCTCTTTCTGTTTTGCAGATGTTCCTGACCATGCCCTTCAGTAAATCAAATATCTATCTGTGGCATACTGTGGTGCTTTCCTATGGTTCTCTGGTCTACAAGCACTGTGCATATTATACACCCTGCCCAGTCACTGCTGTTCAGGTATTCAAAATAAGAAAAAAATCGATTCCCTTTGATAAATTCTGGAGACAGCCATGCCACATTAACACACTTCAAAGTTTTTTAAGTGTGTGGTTTGACTAAGTTAATAGCATCAACATATTTAAAATGTGCTGAATAAAAATGTGCATTTACTTCACATCTGCACTAAGCCACTGCTGGACATGGCTACGGACGCTCTGAAGAATGGCAATGAGGCGGAGATGGTCATCACTCTGAAAGCTCTGGGGAACGCTGGTCATCCCGGCAGCATTAAAACCATCATGCGCTTCCTCCCCGGAGTGGCCGCCAACCCTGTAGATCTGCCGCCTCGTGTGCTGAGTGCTGCTGTGCAGTCTATGAGACTCATAGCTGCCAGAGACCCTCAAAGTGTAAGGACAGCAGATACTGTGCAAGAAGATTAGAAGACTACTTTTTTTTGTTTTTAAACACAGCTTTATGCATGTTCTGTGTTCCATAGTCAAATTCAACTTTCTGAACGGAATAGAAAAGTTTATTTTGTTTTCTTCATTGTGGCAGGTAAAAATGATAATTTTCAACAACATTGTGGAGCTACATAATCTTTTCCTATTTATATCCACATTTACAGCTATGCGCCTTTCAAAGTTCATAGTCTGCACAGCAAATTATAGTGACTGTGTCGGAACAGAAATGACTTCAGCAGTGGGCGGTTGAATGTGTGAGTTTTCTGAACTCCTCAATCATTATAATACTTCTGTTGTCAGGTCCAGGACATCACCATGGCTCTGTTGCTGCAAAAGAACCTTCCCACTGAGATCCGCATGCTGGCCTTCATGATCCTGTTTGACACTAAGCCATCAATGGCTCTGGTGTCCACGGTGACCGCTCATCTACAGCAGGAAAAAGACCTTCATGTTGTTAGTTTTGCATATTCCTACCTCAGGAGCTTTGCCAGATCCAGTACTCCCGACAATCACTTCCTGTGAGTATGACTACAAAAAAACAACTGCGGCATTTCATTGTTTACGCTATGTGATACACAATCCCCTTTTTTTGTGGTGTCTGCAATAGCTCCACTGCCTGCAATGTAGCTGTGAAAATCCTGGCCCCTAAATTTGGTCGTCTCAGCTACCACTACAGCAAAGCAATGCGCATGGACTGGTTTAACGGTACGCTCAAATACAAATGCCTGGATCCTGAGATTTCTCTGAAACAGTTGTATGAGTATTTACTCTTTTCTCCAGTGCAGATGATTTCCTAATTGGCACAGCAGCGGAAGTCTTCATGCTAAGAAGTGCAACAAACATCTTCCCCACTGAAATCATGATGAAAGGAAAGTTTTATTTCATCGGGAGAATTCTGCAGCTACTGGAGGTACAGTACTATTGAGACTTGCATTGAACTTAAACTTATTATATCTTCCAAGTCATGAAGAGTAGTAATTTTCTTTTCTTTGCATGCTACAGTTTGGTATCCGTCCTGAAGGAATTAAGGAGTTGTTTGGTAGCAGCATCCCTGGATTTAATGGAGATCTAGGTTTCAGTGACTTCCAGGCTATTTTCAATGTGGTGAGTATAGGATTAAAACATAAAGGCCAAAAGATATTATCTGTACTACGATGCATCAGTGTATGTGTTCTGGTGACCATTATTCTGCGTCAATTTCAGCTTAAAAACTGGGAAATTCTTCCCAGTGATAAACCAGTCCTTTCCGCCTATTCACGCGCTTCTGGACAAGAGTGGTTCTTTGCTGATATCAACAAAGAGTTCATTCAGAATATCATCAGGGTGAGAGAATAAATGAACAAAGACACTACCAGTGATCCATCTGATCCATGTCAAAACCAGTGGCGTCAATAAAAAGCATTATGCTGTTAAACGATCTACAAAGCCTGTTACATGCCGCTGTCCTGTTATCTCACCTGCAGGCTGTCAGTCCCTCTGCAGGGAAAGAAAGCCCTCTGTGGGCTGTGATTGAGAATTTACAGAAGGGAGTGTCGTGGCATCGGACCAAGCCTTTCTTGATCTTTGAGGTTCGCTACTTCCAAGCCACCACGCTGGGTCTCCCGCTGGAGATCAGCAAATACTATGAAACACTCAATGGAATCACTGTTAACGGTGAGGACAGAAATCCAACAGCATATGATCACCTCACAAATCTAAATAGTATTAAATTTATGATCTGATAAGTGATTGATCTACAGTTCTATCAATGTTATTTTTTTGCATAGCTAAAGCTGCAATAAATCCACCACTGACTGAACATCTTGGACAACTCCTGACTTCTGAAATTTCACTGGAGACCGATGGTTTTGTTGGGTAAAGATATTCACTGTTCCTTTGATTTATAGAAGATAAACTTCCAGCATGTTTAGTAATTACTATGGGAAGGAAATCATTTCATTGTTGCCAGATTGCCTTTGTATACCATTTATCTTCAAACTGTGGAGTTACAACTACTGAAATCGCCTCCTCTTTTTTTTAGTTACACAAAGGATTTTTGGGTTTTCTACGGGATCAACACAGAACTGTTTCAGTGTGGCTCTGAGCTGAAGGCCAAAAACCCTATCGCTATTCCATGGAAGTTTTCTGCCAAGATCAACGTCCGAGAAAAGAAGTTTGAACTTGACTTTCATCCATGCAAAAAAGAGTTTGAAATCCTTTCAGTCAGGTATTTTTTAAGGGTGTGGGGAATAAAAAAAAACTGGTTCACCTAAGAAACATGATTTTTATCCTCTAAAATTCTGAATCGATTCACGGAGTGCAGTGTGGTTCATAATGGAGCTGTCCTCCCATAAAAAATGACCCCATAGGCCATTTGTGAAAGTAGCTTATTTTGACATATAGTTATATTTTAGATTTAATATATAATAATATATAAAGTATACAAGCCAAGTAGGACAAAGTTCTGAATCAAATTGTGACACTCACAATCAGAAGTAAGTCTTCCAAATGGTTACAATATCTAGTACATATGTTACAGTATACACTTCTGCTTTACATTTTATATATGTTATCCACAATACAGCCAATATGCCAAATTTAAGAATTCTTATTTTCCTTTCCAACCAAAAGCTCCAATGTGTATGCAGTCTCCAGGAACATTGAAGAACCAGCTATGGCGAAAATGACCCCAATCATGCCCAACGCTATTGACTCCAATGATGAAGTTGCCCACATGGGCCCCACAGTTGTGAGGCCTGAGTCAGATCAGGTACAGTCAACACCTGTTGGCAAAATACTGTTGCCGTTCAGCTAATGAAGATTTATATTTAAGGATTAATATCGTTCTGTTTCTTCTAATCCAACAGATCATGACACCAAACATCTGGCATCCGAGAGCCAGAATGTGCGCTGAGAGTAACATTTATGGAGCTGGTCTCTGTGTGGAATCTGAGTTGAGGAGAGAGTATTATCATGAGGAATACCCACTGTACTATTTCTTGGGATACACCCACATGGCATTCAAAGTAGTCCCAGGTATGCACAACGAGCCCAATACATTACATCACAGAGTGCTGCTAAACTCATATGACACACACTACTCAGGGAAATGTGTGAGCTGAAATGCCACTCTATTGCCCAATTTGTGAACACTGCTGCTGCAGTCGCTGCATACATTAACCAGTCACCCAGTAGGCTTATTACAGCATTTCATTAGTGAGCTAACACCTGCAGACGAGTCCACTCACGCTATTTCAGGGGGGGTTGGACATGGATACCACTACTGTGGGAATTTAAAAAAAAATCACTTTACAATTTTGACATGATGACAGCAGGATGGAAAAGCATAAGCCTCATTCCTTTAGAAAAGTTATGCTTCTGCTTTAAGTAGGTGTAACCTTTGCACTGCTCTCTCTCTGAGTGAAAGTTTCACCTCTCAACAGACTCAGCTTTACTGATGGCCGTGGTCGGGTGCAGTCAGAAGTGTGCGCTGTTGCACCTGTAACAACACCCAAAAGTGATATCACTGTGTACTAACACACCCTGGGGTACACCTCTATGTCAATGCAGAAAGTTAAAGCACAACTTTGCATAATTACCAGTGCAAAATGACTTCCAGGCAAATCATCCCTCTCTGACTTAGAGCTAAACAAGAGCATCCCTGAGATTCTCTACACCACACAATGATCATATTTTCTGTAAGGCTGATGTATTAGATAGCATTAGATTGTACACGTGTTCGTGTTATGTCAGGCCTAAGAATGAAGGCTCATCTCCCAGTTACTATGGCACCAAATTGGGGAATTTTCCTCCCTATCCCTTTACTCCCTATTCTGAAGCACTTTGTTGACTCTGTATTTTAAAGAGTATGTAGCGTAGAAGCTGCCTCTCCTAAAAAAAATAAGGTTGGGCGCCAGACAGGCAAAAGTTATACAAATAAAGCTATTTATTATTATTATTATTATTATTATTATTATACATTTCTGTCTTCAGCTTTTGCTAACGTTGCCTGTGCACCTTTATTAGCCCAGGCAATCAAAGCTGTTGACAAAATCCACATTGAGGTTAATGCCGGCCCAACCAGACATCCGATGAGCACACGCCAACTGCTTGAGACTCTGCGAAGGCTTTCCAAGGTATTTGGCTAGCCTTGCAATGTTATTATCTCTGCACCTGCTCTGGTGTTTTATCAATTCCAATTCTCCTGTTCCTAAATTGTGTTTACAGGAGGCCATTCAGCGAGTAGGTCTGTCCTCCGACTCAGCCTCAAGCGTCAGACGATCTCATCACAGCCATCATGTCAATGTAATGGAAGTACGCTGAACATTCTCCACAGAGAGAGAACCGAAATTTGTTTCACTGGATAAATAAGGCAGTTTGTACTGAGCAATCTAATCAAGTAAAATAGCTGTGATTCATGATTCATGATCCCACGATTGCTGTGACGGAAGGGAACCATGTTTAGACTGCAGAGATTTTTGTGCATGAAAATACTCCATACAAAGTGTGGCTCATCTGACACATACAGCAAATGTTGCTTGTTCTCTCGGCCCCATTGTCCACCACACTCACTGGTTAGATCACAACCACAATCACAATGATGCACTTTCACTTGGGTATTATTATGAATTCACGAGTCCACACATAATGGATGATAGAGGATCAATACTCACATATTGGACATGATGGACACAAACTCATTACAGTCTAATGGATTGCTTTCTGTCTCACTCCTTAGGTCTTGGACGCGACACCTGAAGCTGTTTTCAACATCAAAGCTTTCGCCATGAGTGGCAACCAGAAGCCTGAGGGTTATGACGCAGCTGTGTACTACACGCCCGAGGCAAATATTCAGAACACCCAACTGATTGTGTCCCAGGTTGGAGAAGATACCAACTGGAAGATGTGTATGGACACCACTGTGAATGCCCATGTTGATGCAAAGGTAGATATAAAACACACAGGAAGTGCAGAGGAGTTGTATATATTTATTATGTATAAAATGTTGAAAATTGAAATAATACCGTTGTTAGTTAACGTTATTGTCAATGCTTGTCCTTCTTGCAAGAACTGTCTGCTGTGTAACCCAAGTATCATATATTCTTTATTCCTACTGTCCAAAAGCTATTACCACATAAAAGAGCTGTACTACTTCACCGGGGGACAAATTCCTTAATTACAATGAAAAAAGCCTTGGTAGTCTCTAGAGTTTGAGAAGTGTAAAAAGTGCTGTCTTTGCACGACCTTGTTAAGTTGACAAGCTGAGAGGAATAAAGTACACTGTTCTTATTCATGGCAAGGAAAGGAAATGTAACCACAGAGGTGGGTAGAGTTCTCTGGCATGGAGTTAGTGTGTTAGTATGTAGATACACAGAGAATACTTGTTTGTACGATAAGTGTATTGTTGTCTTTGGGTGTTTATGGGATTTGTAGATAATAGAAAGATATGAGATGCGGGCCTCGCCTTTAAGGTCATTTAAAGAAATCCATCAATCATTAACATCCAGTTTGAATATGGGCAAATACAGTCCTGTGCCAAAGTCGTCACGTGTGTACTGTGCACAAATGACAAATACTTGTGTAATAGGAAATGTCACACTGGCCACTCATTTGTAGCATCTTCCTTCATTGTGCGAGATGGCGTGATGTCGAGTTCCCCCCTCACGATTGATCTCTTGTGTTTGGTCTAGACACACATCAGATGGGGAGCTGAATGTCAGTCCTATGAAATGTCAATGAGAGCTGCAACTGCACATCTGCCTGGTTCCAAGCCAACACTCAAGGCCAAAGTACACTGGACCAGGATCCCAGAAACCATGGCAGAGATGGGCAGAAGGTGAGCTTCAGTGGATAAAAATGTATTAGCAGTTTGTGTGGAGAAAGTAAATGAATAAAATGGGAGGAAAACAGAGACGCATGGGCTGGAGAAGAGAGCGAAAGATGATTTCCATTCGTATTTTCTAGCAACTGTCTTTGCTTTGTAGAGCAGGGTAGAAACCTTCTCTGTGTTTATTATGATATTTTCTGGCATGTGTTGTTGAAAGAGCTTTTTTACATTTTTCCAGAATTGAAAGCTACATCCCAGGCATGGCGTTCTTTCTCAGCTTCTACCAGCAACATGAGAGAAACGCCAGGCAGGAGGTTTCTGCATCAGTTGTTGCTGCCTCAGCAGACAGCGTGGATGTGAAGATTAAATTCCCAGAGGTGTCGCAGGAAAAATTCGCTACCTACATTTTTATGCAAAACTTCTAAATCCTTACATTGCATGTGACTGATCTTGACTGCTGTTTTTACTCAGATCATTTGTCATTTTCTTCTGTCTTGTCATTAGTATACAGTCTACCGCCAGGCTATTCCAGTTCCACTGCCAGCTGCCAGTTTTCAGGACGACACCAGAAACACAACAATAGATGGATTTGGACGTTCATAAAACCATGTGAGCTGCACAAACCAGTTCAACTGAGCTTAAATGAATGCTCATACTAATTTTCTATCTTTTTTAAAATACTCTGTAATTTTGTGTGCATAAACATGCGTGCGTGTGTGTGTGTGTGTGTGTGTGTGTGTGTGTGTGTGTGTGTGTGTGTGTTTAAGTGTGTGTGTGGATTGTTCTGACAGATTTCTATGCAAAGCAGATGAGCAAAAACAAGCAAAGAGCTGTGCCATTTTTGCTTGCTTTATAAAATATGTTTTGCGTTGCAGGGAGACAACAAAACCCAGATGGGAGCCAGATGCCTCTTTTCACAGTGATAACACTGCATCCAAAATCTCACCACCGTGATGAAAGTGAGGATCATAAAAGATTCATCAGTAATCCCTCAGATGTCGCCAGTTTGGAAGTAACCTGTAAAGGTCCTGATTTATTCATCTGAAAGCATGTTAATATTTGAACACCCTCTTTTGAAGAAATATTGTGTAAATTCATGTTTATGTTCAAAAATATTGTATCTTCATAATACTGGATTTACCAAAAACTATTTCAGCAAGTTTTTTTTTTGTTATGATTCTGTCACAACAAAGACTTGGTTCTTCCAACATTGTGCTAAATCTGTGTGATTAAAATAAAGAGCAATCCTTGGAAATCCTGAGAAACTTGAATCAGAGTTTAAAATTCAGTTTAAAATGAAAAGTGACAACCCAGTCTGCGGCAAACTTTGCTCTGCTGTTGTTAAAAAAAAGAAAGCTATTTAAATCAGATTTTCCTTGCAATATGTAAGATACAGAGTGGAAACGGAACCAAACACAATCCAAATGGCTGGCATGTTTGCCATTTCTACAGGCCAATTTGGCTAATAAACAAGTCTTTGTTAACAGGTCCTGTTCTTTTCTAAATGTCCTATTTGATTGTGAAAATACTGAATGTTGCGGGGGAGTTTTGGATTCAGTAAAGTGGATCATTGTAAACTGGAGGCTTTCTACTGAAAGAGGTGAATGTTTACAAGGTCTGTATGACCCACTCTGTTTGTTTGGTCATCTGATGCAACAGGACTGTTTGCAGATATCAGTACACAATGTCACCATGCATGCCCCTAAAGTTCAGTGCCGCTGCCACACAAAGCACTCAGGGCCCTTTGTTTAAAAAAACCCCAAAAAGGCCAGTGTTTGTTGGATGGCTGGACCACAACATCTAATATACACATATTTTATCTACCTTTTAGAAGGATCTCAAAATAAAGGTTGTACTCTATGAATGGATGTAAAAATATCTGATGAACATTAATTGGTGTTCCCGAACTGGGCTCGGCCCAAATCGCAGCTTTGAGTCGTAACAAATGGGATATGTCACTAGCCAAAGATAATGATTGCATCCTAATCAAATACTGGTTGTCCTAACTACCCCTGGCTCTGCTTCTCCTGCCTACACTGATTTAGCCAGATGGTGTAGGATTGCAGAGAAAAGACACTGCCATCAAAGGCTGAACGGGATGAGTACAATTATAATGGCACCATTATGTTCCATTTACATCTCTAATATCCTGCGGGCTTTCAGAAGCCGGCGGACAGGCTGATTGCAAAGCTGTTGTGTCTACGTCGAGATCCACATCAACTCCTGCTGTCTAGAAGATCAGGACACACTGACCTTGTGCCGACATGACTTCACCAGGTGAAATCGGCATTAGTGAATGATTGATCAGGTAATTTGGAGGAGGAGGAGGGATAGGCCATCCCCTCCTTTTTATTGCTGCTCACTCTGCGATTGTGACGTGCCTCATTAGGCAGACTATACCGGCCCCGGCTAAAAGCCATCTGAGAGTAGCTGATAATAAAACCATGGTTACAGACGTTTCGGTCCAACTGTAGCTATTGTTGCATGTTTTGGGGCATAGCACTGGTCATCAGTAGAGGAAGACACAACCAATACAGCGTGTACAGTTTTATTATAAAACACAGGGACACACGTTGGTAGAAAATAACTGGGAGGGAGTGTTTGACCAGACAGGCCTACATTAACACCATTTGTGATGAATGTATTTAATTACAGAAATGTTACTGAGGTCTATGGTGTTTTTAAAGATGAAACAATTCGCTGCAAAAGATTTTTGGCATAATCCTGTGGTATGCATGTGAGTCTGTGTGTGTGTGTGTGTGTGTGTGTTAGAGTGTGAGCACTAGAGGACAGTATTTACCAGACATTAAAATATTCCTGGCTCAGTGCTGAAAGCCTGGCACCAGTGTTTGTTCAGTTCACAGAGAGGGCTATGCAGTGGATGTTGACATTCTGAGGATAAATAAACATATGCTTTGGCACGGTCAAATTGCTCCCCCAACTCTGTGGCATGCAAAAAAAAGAGGACACATTTTATTTTAATACAAATAAATAAATAAAACACTCAGTGACTGCTAATAGCCTTTGCACACTTATTGAGGCAGCAACAAACTGTACAAATCACAGTACAAAATCACAAGGACCAAAAATGCTCATTTAGTGACACACTGAATTATGTTTTATTCCAAAAAACACAAATATTAGCAGTAGACTCAGCCACAAACTGGACTGCTTTTTCACCAACATTCATGATCTGACATACACTACCTCCCCTCCTTAATTTAAGACACAAAGACAGCTTATACACAGGGAGAAATGTGAGTGGGCGAGACCCTGGTTATATCACTGACATTATCAAGTGGACACACCTCATCACGGACACTTCACGACACCTCCGGAGGGCTCAAAATCTGACATGACGCCCGCTGTGAGACCTTCGCTGAGCTCATATCCTCTCACCCAATAATTTCAGCATCGCTCGCACCAAATGAGCTTGCTGCTATGTTTTCCTGATGTTATTACAAGAAATCTTGCTGCCGCTGTGCTCAAGTAGTTGTGCCATGTTTTCAGGGAAAGGGAAAGAAGAAAAATAAATAAATAAATCATTGATTTTGAGAAGCTTGGTAGAGCAAAGTCCTTCATTTGAAACATTACTATTATGCTAAGGAATATGTCATGGTCAGGATAAACACATTTTAGGCTGTTGATTTGAGTAGCAGCAGAGGTTGCTTCCTCTCTGTGGCTTTTGTTGTAGACACAACTGCCTACTGAGGTCAGCTGGCTGAAGTGAGGTTTTCATGCCTTGTCTGAAATACTGACATTGAGTTTCTATTGAACCAGTGCAGATCATTTGAGGAGCTGTGAGCTAAAAAAAAAAAGGGTGTTTACCAGCCCACAAAAAAAAAGATAATCGATCACGACACTTAAACTAAGTTCAAGATCAGCATTGAACAAATGTTATGCCATGTGAAAATGTTTTTTTCAGCTTTTTATGCGCACAGTTTGCAAAACATATGTAGTGACACTGTACAAAATTCTACAGAAATTAAAAGCTCAACCATATACATATTTACTTGACAAGTAATGTGCATATTTGCCTGCTGAAGAGAATGTAACAAATCAAATGTACTAAATGTTCTGGGTGCTGCAGTACATGATATATGATATATGATCCAGCAAAGTTGTTTATTGTTCACTACAAATTTAGGAGGGGAGTAAATTTAAGAGGTGTTTTTATGCTTGCTTGTCGGAACAGGCTTCAGCCGCCCCGACCCTGATCAGGACAGGTAGTACAAAACATTGACAGATTAGTGGATTAGTAGCATTTGGATTGACATGCTGATGAATGGTAAACCCGAACTGACTTATGTCAATCCATGTTCTGTTCTGTAACCATCTGATAATACACTGAATTTGTTTAGCCTGAAAAGTAATTATAAATGTTTGGTGATTCAACAAGCCCACGAGAAACATTTTTATGGAGGGTTTTGAGTATTTGCGCTTTTTCTTTTCCTTTATTGCTTTGATATTTGTTTATTGAAGACATTTTTTCTATTTTGAGGAGAACTGTCATTTTTAATACTTTCTGTTCTGTCTGTGAGAGACGATTAAGGGCACTTACATCAATATAAGATGAGCTACTTGTATTATTTTGAGTAGCAGTTTCAACAAACAGTTTTGTGGGAATGCTGATGCTCAAATACTTGAGTTTGTCAAAGGCTCAAATCTAGCTTGCATGGTGGAAATATTTTAGCTTTGAGGCAGTTTGTAATGGTCTGGAGTTAATTGCTGCAATAACTTGTTTCAGTGATACTATGGTGTTTCCAGATAGCATAATATCGACAATGATTTAGTGATGACTTCTAAAACTTGCAAATCCCTTTGTTGTTGCTGCCGCTCAATAAAAATGCCAAACAGAGGTGGAGGAGATGGACATCCTTGTCAGATAACCTTGTCTGAGCTGAAGGACTACGACATCATTATTCATTATCCATTTATTATTAGTTCATTCTCCAAATATTTAGAGACATGGCATCCATCTCAGTCTGTAAAGGTATTACTCTGAATCAAGTGTTTTTATGACAGTTTGTGTTTTAGCCTTTGTTATTAAATCAAATTGTCTGTGCCTATTATTGTGTGAATGTCTCCTCAGCCCTATCTAGAAGCACCAAACTCAAAAGCAGTTTTACTGAGGCAGCTTCTGCTTCTGTAATATTTTGGGATTACTCTCAGCAATCCACCAAGTAGATCCCAAATCCATAAACCCTGCCCCTGGCCACTATTGCAGTGAGGCTCCTTGCAATGAAGCGGAATAAGCCCACCGTAAGCTAAACAATAATGATCTATGAAGAGTGTCCTCCCTGAGGGAGCACCGGTGAGGTGGGCGGCTCGATGTGCTAAAACGACAGACCACCTGACATTGCAATGCTGAAAGCTCCATGTTTGGAGGACCTGATTTAAGTGTCTATGTTATGTATCTATATAATGAGTATGAGCTTAAATATCAATATAATGAAGTGTTTTTTTTCAGCATAGTATTTTGAAAAATGTTGCATTAAACTTTAAATGTCTCATATACGGTTACACATACATGAACACACACGTGCACAAACTCTCTCTGCTCAAATGCTGGAAGTTGATAATTTACCACCCACATTTACATGGTGTATAATGCCAAATGAAACACAGCTAATTTAAAGCAAATATAATGAATGTTTTCATATGACTTATCTGCTCACATGACTACATGTATTTGAGATGAGCTGCTTGTAGAGATGAGAATTATCACCTGCAGAGCTTCATAGCATCTTGCAGCTTTACTGTTTTGGTTCACTCTCTCTGCTCTCATCAACCTAAGCAGCTTTCTTCTGCAAAAAAAAAAGCTCTAAAAAGCCACTGTATGCTGCCTGCCCAACACCAAACAGCAGACAGACAAAGTCACTGACTATAGCTGGTGGACATGGTGGAGCAGTTAGCAGCTAGAGAGCCACATATTGTCTCTCAGAGACCAAATCAGAGCCGTACAATTAACCAAGTGGATACAAACGTGAATCCAAATGAATGCTACTGTTGCTGCGTGCCAGATGTGTAGAAAGGCAAATATTTGCTTTCAAGTTCACAACAGCAACATTAAAAATTATAACTATGTGTAAATAATTAACAATTGTTTTCGCTGCTCTCAAAAACTGTTAGTTGTTGCAGGTTTAATTGATGCATGGGCTAAAAAAAGAATCTACAGTTGTAGCTCAGTGCCTACTTTCAGCAAAATGCCAGATCGGTCTTTAGCAATCTTATCTCATAATTATGACTTACTTTCTCATAATTACAGGATCCCGGTCTCCTAATCATGAAAAAAAGGTTAAGGTGGTTATCAATCATCAGTATTTGTGAACACAGAGGCATTATGGTGCTGCCTGATATGTCTATATAGGGATTTGACCTTAAATATCAATTCAATTAACTGTTTTTTTGTGTTTTTCAACAAAGTATTTTAGCAAATGTTACGTTTAATGTGAAAAGTATATTTGTTTATAATATGGAAAATCAAGTTTGCTAATCTAGCTATCAACAGTTCATTTTGCTGTGTACCATTGGTTGTTCTGGCAGTTATCACTGGAATGACTGAAGTCTTCAAAACAGATGATTCTCCGGCAAGTTCTGAGGTGCCCCACTTCCTGTCCTGTTATTCTACAGTCTCTTGTAATGATGAGACAGTAAGACATAATTACAAGATTACATCTTTTTTTTTTTTTTTTTTCCCCCCATCTGTGAATGCGGTGTGCTTCCATAGGTTACTACATGACATCTGGATGGGTTGATTGTTGTAGCTGGTAAATTGTTGATCTTCTTTTCTTTTAACTCTCTCAGAAAATCCTCAGAGCTCATATACTGCTTTGACAGGAAGTAGCAGACATAACAAAAGAACATAAAGAAACATGGCAGTGACTATAGCATCCCTAAGGCATTACATTTTTGGGTGTATAGATATTTGTTTTGGACATTTCTGCCTTCATGGAATAGTGACAGTTGGGATACAGACAGGAAATATGGGGAATGTAATGGAGTTTAAATCAAAATTAGTAGGTAAACATAATGTCTACACATATATTCCATATATTAGGTATATTATTATTTTGGATGTTTATTTATTTTCAACATTTTACTTCCTAATTAAAGTGGACTGAAAGGCTTCCCCAGCCCTTCCAAATGTTTGTGACACATTGGAGTCACTGTGTCTGCTGAATTCATGAGTTAAGGGGTTTTCCAAATGGGCACTGCCTAGTTTATAATGCCATGCTGTGTAACATGTTCTATTTGAGCAACAGGAACAATTTTCTTCACATTCAGAGCTGATTTGGATGAACATTATCTTGGTAGGTAATATATAATCTTATGATTCCCCCAACACCGTAATTCTATCTGACAGCACAGCAGGCAAAACACATCGAAGCTTTAAGTATCAATTACTCTTGCTGGCATCAGCATTGTTCTGTTCTGTTTAAATGATTAGGCATAATCACTATTTTTACAGATGTTTTATTTATTTATTTATTTTTTTACAGTGGAACTCAGTAAACATGTAGCATGTAAATCAGTTTCCACAGAATCACTTTAAGACTCTGCTTGTTCTTACTGAGGAGATAACATGCGCAGTCCAATCATCAGGAGGGGGCACTGTTGGTCTTGGCAGTGACGTAAGGAGCCTTTATTTGTGGAGCCTTCTATTCTATTTTTACTTCTTGTGAAAATTTTATGTCTTCCTGTACAGATCAGTGCTATTCTCCTGTTCCACCCATTTGACCCAGAAATTCAGATATACACAACAAAACGGGTCTCATGTCACAGAATGATGAAAAATTGAAATCACACTCTACAGTGCACAGCATCTAATACTCTCATGTCTATCCTTTGTATAAAATGTTTTTTTTTTTGAATGTCAAAATAGCCTATGAGATAGCTGTCCATTGCACACTTCAGCAAGAATTTTGTCACAAACTTTATACAAAACACAACAAAACCTGT